GCTCCTCTCTCCTCATCTAACTCATCGCTTAAATGCTATCAAGTTGTAGCCCATTTATCTCCTACCTCACTACAGGCTCATAGTTATACAGTTGCATAGTAAGTAAGGTTGAATAAAGATACAGGTCCATCCAGTTCAACCTATGTGTGTTTGTGTGTGTAATTTTCTGTAATTCATAGTCTCTTCCCTTGCCTGGAATCGATCCTGGGAATCTGGGTTACTTCCTTGCTTGTGGAGCCACTGGAGGGTTCTGATTTTGTGCTGACATTTGTGCTCTCCACCTACATTGTATGGGGCCCTGACCCCCACCTACTGGTCAGCTGCAGGAAATTACTAAATCTGCCACCAATAAATACTGCCCTCCCCTTCCTGTCTTTGCCCAAGTATAGGATTTCCTGTGTGGATCCTGGGTTTTATCGGCTTTGCTATATTGGATTCCACATTTTTACTCTACTCACAGTATCCTTTTGAGCTGGCTTCCCGTCACAGGAAACGAGTTCAAAGAAGGGCTAAAAAATTAATAAAGGGGATGGAAGGCCTGAGTTATAAAAATAGCCTCCAGAAATTACATTTATTCTCCTTAGAAAAGAGACGCATAAGGGGGGACCTAATTGCAGTTTCCAAAATCCGAAATGGGGACCACAGTTTTGGGAAGAAATGTTTACACCAAGAACTCTATTGATGACATGTGGACACAACAAGAAGTTAGAAGAGAGGAGGTTTACTCTTAGACTGTGTTTTTGCACATATCAAACTTTATTTATATGGTTTTTAACCTTTTGTATGCAATAAAGATTTTTTGGTATTAAGGATGTTGTTATCTCTTGGATCCGTCACCTGGTACCTTAAAAGCCCCATCTATATATGTTTTCTAAAGTTCCATTATGAAGTGCTAAATTCACTTTGGGCTGCTGGCTTTTCAGTCAGAAACGTTGGTAGCCCACCTGTGGGCGTTGCCCTTAACACTTGTATTAGATCCTCTGTCACTTTTTCCAACTCTAGATGGTAGCCCAACACGACAAATGTCATCAACAGTCAGCCAGTTGCCAACGAGTCTGACTAATGAGTCTGCTCCTAACCAGCTTGGGTGTGCTGTTTACACAAAGATTCCCCATAACAATATCCCATTGTGACTAAGTTAGATACCAATAATGGAGAAACAATAGAGGGCAGCTATTCCATTGTCAGAAAACCAGTTTGGTCTGTGTACACTTGCTTAGCTTAACAATATGTGAGTAGATCAAATGTCTCTTTAAAACCTGAGGTTTGCAAATCTCCTGAAGTACCTGTATATGCCTGAAAAATCTATAAACAGATTATACAGATACTGTGCGCGTGTGTGTAATATATATTTATATATATATATATGCAATGTGTTTTGGCCGCGTTTTTGATGCGTTCCAGTTAAAAAAAATAAAAATGTTTTTTTTTTGCTGGAGTGGGGCTGTCAGTATGTTAGCTGCAGTGCAGTGCGTTTTTGACGCGTTTTGCGTTTCCGGTCCGTTTCCTGACCGGACAAAATGTGACATGCAGTATTTTTTCTGCCGTAACCTGAACGGACTGCGCACGTGAGAACTGTAGCCCATGAAATACATAGGGATACATTTTTAGTGCTAATGAAAATACGGCAAATCAATTACCGCATTTCGTCCAGGTGCTTTTCGTTAATTACGGCTAAATTAATCTTGCGATCATCGGGGCAGGATGGGGCTGCCGTACGAAAGTCGTACGACTATTCGATCATCGGACGAAAAGTTTCGTCCCATAATCGTAAGGTGTATGGGCACCTTAAGGGTTGTAAGACTTTTCTTCCACTTCAAGCTATAAGAAGTTGTACAAAAAGGAAATAACCCCAATTAAAAGAAATCAGCTAAAGTGTTAACAGTTGAGGGCTAGCAATCAATCAGTTGTTGTTGACAGATATTATACCTTAAAAGGACTTTTAGGTTCAAGTAAAGGTCAGTAAACACAGGTGGGGGTACATAAGAGAATGTGCCCCATTACTGTAATTCATAGAACTCAAGCCGTTTTTAAAGTAGATGTAAACCTAACAACTAAAATCACATATTTGCTTTAACATGCTAATGTCATTACAAAATTAAATTTGAATATATTTCTAAAATCAACAGATTTACTTAAAATAATAGCAGGGGATCCTGCCATGACAGAACTCTCTGTCCTTGTCTCCATATTATCCTCCTGGCTGGCAGTTACCCTGTCACGTGCTCAGTGGCGTCACAAGGGGGGTGCGGCCCGCTCCCGGGTGCCACCATTGGAGTGGTGACACCAAAATGACTGACAGTCATTTCGGTGTCACCCTCTATGAAAAGTCAGGCAGCCCGACAGTGTCAAAGAGAGAGGAGGGGACCCAGCAGCATACCTCATCCCGCAAGGTGAACGTCCCCTCCTCTCCCTGCCGCAGTCAATCACCAAGATGGCCACTGGCAGACGTCAATAAGCCGACCGCGCATCTGCAATAACGTCACGGTGGGGTGTCATCCAATCTCCGCTCCGGGTGACACCCAGCCTTGGGACGCCCCTACACGTGCTCTCTAAATGGACTACAAGTGGTTGCGCCTTTGCACATAGCACAGGCATGGTCCATCGTTGTCACCATTTGGAAATCTGCTCTGAGCACCCTAGTAGTGCACTTAACTGCAAAAAGGCTGCCAGAGATCAGTAGCACTGAGATGTAACAATGGATGAAAAAATTATGCCCACCCCTTCCCCTGTCTGTCCCCCCACTCAGCGCTGGAGGAAGAGAGAAAGGAGAGGGGAATCTCGGCGGGGAGTGGCGACTGACAGCCACCGCTCTCTGCAGGGAGAAGATCATGAACTCAGCGATCAGCGGTTTGTGCTCACTCACTTCTCAATCTATAGAGTCGACGTGTGACAGCTGCAGCTGTATTTCACTCTCCCCATTGTTCTCCTTTAAATGCCAACGGCCAGACCAGCTTGAGTGTGTTGTTTACCCCAAAACAAAAGTCAGCATCTATAAACAAAAACACCCCTGTATCCCATTGTGAGAAAACTAGCTTCTCACAAAAGAAGATACTGACCCATTGTCAGAAAAAAAAAAATTCTGTTTATCTTAACAATGGCAATTGTTTGAGCAAGATCAACTGTCTCTTGAAATGCTCATTGACAGTGTAAATCTACAGTATGTTTGGGTGTGAAGCAATTATATTATATATA